CAAGATCGTTTGTGTTGGAAGCAGGGTACTACTTCCAACTGATATGGATGCTGTGTTAGGAGGATGTGGAGTTGGGAATATGGCAGCTCTGGGTAGGCAATCCTGCAGCCTTGTGCTGATGGATGTGCTTTAGATCTCGCTGTGAATCTCTGAGAAATTATTTTCTATGTCTGAAGACTGAGTATTCCTTCATTTTTCCTTTTGCCTTTCAGGGGACCTTGATGGACTTTGTCCCTTCTACTCCTCCAATGATCCCTTCCATCATAGTGCACTGTGTGAATGAGATCGAGCAGCGAGGGCTGCATGAGGTAAAAAGAAAATGAGGTGTGAAACAGTGCTGATGAAATGGGTTGTGGTGTTAGGGAGGCAAATGAACCCAAGCATACCTTACTCATTGTGTGCATAGTGCTGGTCAGTGGGTGACTGTGGGTGAGCAACAGTGGCTGTACAGAGTGCCCAGGTGTGGAGAGCAAGTGGGAGCAGGATGTCAGTTTTGTATGTGCTCTTGATACTCTGCCTCTAAGCAATGCTTTCTGTTACAGACAGGCCTTTACCGGGTGTCTGGCTGTGACAAGACAGTGAGGGAACTGAAAGAGAAGTTTCTTAGAGCAAAAAATGTTCCTTTGCTCAGCAAAGTGGATGACATCCATGCTATCTGTGGCCTTCTCAAGGACTTTCTGCGCAGCCTGAAAGAGCCCCTTCTCACGTTCCGGTTAAACAAGACTTTTATGGAAGCTGCAGGTGAGGAAGCTGCTAAATGACATCTCCAAATCTTTCCCTAGGCTTGATGGTCACAGGTTTAGCTGTCGTGTCCACTGGGAAGACCCCAGGGCTCTGTGGAGCCCTCATACTTGCAGCTGTGTTGATGATGTGCCATGTGCTTGGAGGATATCTCTTCTGCTGTACTCCTCTGGAAGAGGAAGGAAACAAGTTCTGCTACTTGGGCAGGATACCAGATTACTGCAGTGGCAGTAAATGTTAAGTTTCTGGCTTCCTTGTTTCTCAGGATAGCTACTGCTGTGAGGGGAGTATTGCAGCTGTGCCTTTGGGACCACCTTCTGTGGTTTAAACATATTGGGTTTTTTCTCCTAGAAATCTCAGATGAGGACAACAGCATTGCTGCTATGTACCAAGCAGTTGGTGAGCTTCCTCAGGCCAATAGGGACACCCTGGCTTTCCTCATGATCCACCTGCAGAGGTATGTCCAGATGGACTGGTAGTTCTGAAAGAGGGATGTTGCCACTGGTGCCCTCTTGAAATGGGCTTTTGTAATTGCTTGTGAGCATAAAGTCTTCATCCTGGAAAAAAACGCTTATTCAGAAGCTGCAGTGGGTATGGGTTGGGGTAGTTGTATTACAAATGAAGGGGAGAAGCTACATCCTCTTATTGTTTTTAATACAGGGTGTCTCAGAGCCCAGAGACTAAAATGGACGTTGCCAACTTGGCCAAAGTCTTTGGCCCCACAATAGTTGCCCATGCTGTACCTGATCCTGACCCGATGATGCTCCTGCAGGACACGAAGCGACAGCCTAAGGTGAGTGAGCAGAAAGAGCTGCTTGGAGTGAATGTATCCCCTTTAACAGGTTCAAGTGAATTGCTGGAGGGAGCTGAGGTGATGCTGGTCCTAGTGTCAGTGTGTCAATGCTGTGTGCTGGTCTGTAACATCATCCCCCTGTACTTGGCACTGGTAAGGCTGCACCAGTTCTGGTGCAAGATGCTACAAGAGAAATGTGGAGGTGCTTGATGGGGTCTGGGGAAGGGCCTGGAGCACAAGTGCGATGAGGAATAGCTGAGGGACTGGAGGTATTTAGTCTGGAGAAGAGAAAGCTCGGGTGGACCTTATCGTGCTCTACAACTGCCTGACAGGAGGATGTAGTGAGGTGGGGATCAGTCTCTGCTCCCAAGGAACAAGGGATGGGACAAGAGGAAAAGGCCTCAAGCTGCACCAGGGGAGGTTTAGATGGAGCTGAGGAGCAATTCCTGCCCCAAAGGGTGCTCAGGCATTGGAAGAGGCTGCCCAGGGCAGTGCTGGAGTCACCGTCCCTGCAAGTGTTCCCAAACTGTGTAGCCGAGGCCCTCAGTGCATGTGTTTGTGGTGGACTTGGCAGTGCTGGGGTCATGGTTGGACTTGATGATCTTAAGGGACTTTTCCAACCTGGTTGATTCTGTGATTCCATGATTCTATTCACGGGTCTCTCTGTAGGTAGTGGAGCGACTTCTGTTGCTGCCTATGGACTACTGGAGCCAGCTGATGATGGTGGAGCAAGAAAACATTGACCCAGCACATGTAATTGAGAATGCCAATGCCTACTCCACACCACAGACACCAGATGTTAAAGGTAACCCCTGAGTTCTGCTTTACTCCTTACTGGCTGTGCAACTGCTGTTGTAAAAATAATGCCCCTCAGTCAGAGCTGCTTGAGACTCTGGAGCATTCCTGCATGCTTCATGGAGGAAGAGGGAAGAACATGGCAGAAAAACACTAGTATTGTCTAGTATTTTTGGCAGATGCTAGGGAATGTTCAGCCTGGAGAAGAGAAGGCTGCATGGAGACCTCAGAGCAGCCTTCCAGTATCTGAAGGGGGCCTATAGGGATGCTGGGGAGGGACCCTTCATTAGGGACTGTAGTGACAGGACAAGGGGTAACGGGTTCAAACTGAAACAGGGGAAGTTTAGATTGGATCTAAGGAGGAAATTCTTTCCTGTGAGGGTGGTGAGGCACTGGAATGGGTTGCCCAGGGAGGTTGTGAATGCTCCATCCCTGGTAGTGTTCAAGACCAGGTTGGATGAGGCCTTGGGTGACCTGGTTTAGTGTGAGATGTCCCTGCCCATGGCAAGGGGGTTGGAACTGGATGATCTTAAGGTTCTTTCCAGCCCTAACTATTCTATGATTCTGTGTCTGATGTTCCTTGCATGGCAATGAGCACTTCAGCTGCCCCCATGTTGCTCACTTCACTACCTCTCTTTTGGCAGTGAGCATACTTGGGCCCCTCACTTCTCCAGAGCACCAGCTCTCCAAGACTCCATCATCCAGCTCCCTGACCCAGAGGGTCCGCTCTACCTTCAGCAAAACCACCCCCAGGTAAGTGCCAGTGGGATGTTATGGAGCTGTTGGGTTCAGTGCAGGTGAAGTACTAAAACCAGACTTTTGGAACCTGTTCTGGGAGCAGCCTGGATTTACTAAGCCAACTCTCCCTTCATGAGTGCTGTAGTAACAGTGCAAGCTGCACAATAGTTTAATTAGTGGCCTCTTATGGTAGGGAGAGCAATGCTTTGTGTGGGAGATGGGTACAAGTTGGGTGAAAGTCCCCTGGGGAAGGGAAAGTGTTAGACCTCTGTATCCTAAATGCAAACCTGATATTTTTCTTGCTTCTCTTGATCTAGATTCGGGAGCAAAGGCAAGTCAACAGCCCAACTTGGGCATCAGTATAACTTTTTTGCTTCTCCTGTGCTGAAGTGAAGTGGACCTGGGAGGTAGCCATTGTCCTAGCATTTGCACACCAGTATGCACCAGTACAAGAAACACCAGTCCTCTCTGTGGCCATTGGCAGCTTATGTAATAAGATCTCTTTCCATTTAGCTTCCAGCTTAACTGAGACTTTTAATGGGATTTTATTGTGCAATGTATTTTTATTATCTAATGCTGTGCTGAATTTTAGTATTGGTGAAGAAAGTAATATCAGGATTTATTCCAAGTTTTAATAAAAAAAAAATGCTAGAGGAACTTGCTGACACTTTTCAGTAGCATCCAGTCTCATAGCCGTGTGGAGTGGAACAGTCATATAAGGATTGTGAGCTTGTTGGGTTTTGCTGTTTGGTTTTTAAAGCTCAATTTTGGTTTTTAAAGATGCTCTTCACACAGCAGTGATGCTGATTTGTTGGAATCCAGTGTTTCCAGCAGCACCCAAGTCTAATTCGTGACTTGGGCTGTGGTCATGCAGCCTTTAATCCTGAGGATGGCACTGTTGCCTTTGAGCAAAGGATGCTCCCTAACTGCCAGCGGGGCTGCGACTTTAGTGAAAGAATGTTTCCTGGTACTGCATTTACAAGGTAAAAACTGTCTGTAGATGCAAACCCCAAAGATTCCAGGGTCGTCTAAATGAATGAAAGTGCTGCTCATACTGGTGCGGGGATTGAGGGTGGGTTAAGAGCATCCTTACTTTTGGGAGTCCCTGCTTTCCTGAACTGGGATATGTGGCCTGGCTCAGTGCTGTGTGAAAAGATTTATGGAACACATACAGAAGCTTATAAAGAGACTGTTTTTATTGAGCTCTGGAAAACTGTCATGACTTGTGCAGCTAAGTAAATAATGATCTGTGTGACCTGTGGTTCTGTGCTGTGGCTGATGCTTGTTACTTGTGCTATAGTTTTACCAGTGCAAGAAAGCAAAGCTCCTGTTTTTACATTCAGGCAGAGGCAAGCACACACACGTTTCAAAGGACTCATGCCAATATAATCACAACTGTATGCTCCCTAAACAGCAGCTAGCCCTTGCTATGTTTGTATTTAAAGCAATAGGACAGGCCAGCGACTATGTCTCTGCCCTGTATGCAGGTTCTTCACCCCACCAAGCCCCCCCCCATCAGTTAATGACCTTGTGGATGAAGCCACCTTCTTATTTGCTGCAAATGAGAGTTCTGATAATGGAAGGCACTTCTCACTCTCCCCTAAGTGGCACCTAGGTCTGATCTACAGCAACTCCAAGGGGGTGGTGCAGGTCTCCCTGCAAAGGACTGTGCTCAGCTCCCATGAGCCAAATTCTTCACCTTTGTTTCCATTCCCTCCTCTCAGAGAAGCGGGACTGGGGGCCTGGTGTGTAAATTTGGGGCAGTTGGTTATCTATGGGTGGGCCTGTATGTATGGACAAGGAATGGGCTGCGATGCCAATGGAACCCTTGTATCTACATGAGGTGATGGGCCTGCTGTTAGAGAGAGAGAGAGAGATGCTAGGCCTGGATGCCTTCTAGCTTTGCAGATAGGATTCCCTGCTTTGCCCAGGCCTCACTCTAGCTCGGCTGCAGAGAATTCGGCAGGCAAGTGGCGGTCAGTGTCTTCCATGGCACGGTGAATAGCAGCAGCAGCCTCACCGTGGTAGTGCTGAGCCAGCTGGGTCAGCTTCTGGGCACACTTCCTCCTCATTGCTGTTGCCATGGGAATCCGGTACCCATCCATAAACTTGGCTTTTGCTTCATCAAGAGACTTCTTCTTGTAGAAGAAGAAGTTTCCCCAGTAGAGATTAAGGGCTTGAAGGCTTTTGAGGCTCAGGGTGTCCTTTCTCTCCTGCAGCTCCCTGTAGATCTTCTCTTCCTGTGCTGGGTCTCTTGCGCCATAGAACTCTGCTAATTGCAGCTTTACAAACACGAGGTCTGGATGTTCCTGAAGAATTTGGTTGAGGTCTTTGATGGCTGCTTCCAATATGTTATTCTTGTCTTTGTTATTTGCATTAAGCCACTGTTTCTTATAGCACTTGGCCAGGGCTTGATAGAGAAGGTGATAACCTGGATTCTGCTCCAGGGCTTGCTGTAATATCTTAATTGCTTTCTGTATAGCATTCCTTTTCAGCCAAAAGGAAGATGAAGCCTTGAGGACATCAGGATCAGAGCTTTTCTCTACGTTTTCTTCTATCAAGCTAATTGATCTTTCTGTATCTGCTTGTTCAAGTAGCATGGCTAAACACATTTTGGCTCTGTAGTTATTTGGGTGCTCCAGAACAGTTTTTTCCAGTTGGATTCTAGCTTCCTCTGCAATATCAGGATACCAGAAGTAATTCCAGCAGGAGTAAAGAGCCATTCCAAGCCCAGCATGGAAATTCCTGTTCTCCGGTTCAAGCATCAATGCCACTTCAAAGCACTCTCTTGCCCGTTCCCCATTCCGGGCTCTGATAGCCAGGAGGGACCAGCCTTTCTGGGCCTGGATGTGTGGGATCAGCCGTGCATCTAAAGGAGTTGTGCAGAGCTGCTCAACTTGTTGCAGATAGCTTTCAGCCTCCTGGTAAGAGGCCTGAAGGTAGTGAATCCAAGCATAATTCCCATATATAACCAATGAACCAGCAGCAGATGCCTGCTGCTCGTCTTGCCTCTCATACTCTTCAGCATCTTTAAGGCTTTGCAGAGCTTCTCTGCTCTGACCTTCCAGCTGGTACAGGTATGCCTGCAGCCCCAAGAGTGCTGCCTGGTTTTGGTGGGGTGTGTACTTGATTTCAACAGCCAGCTTCTGCAGGACATGGCTAATATCAATGTGGCCTGCTATACTCAAATGCCAGGTGAAATGGCATTGAAGGGCATCCAACTTTTCCTTCAGCTCTTCCTTGCTGCAGAAAGGAAAAGGTGAGTTAGGAATAGGCAGCATGTGGTATCCTGTGGTACCCACACAGAGCCCAAAGGAGCTCCTAGCTGTGCTTGAAGCAAAAAGGAGGGAGAGGTGGAGGATGGGGCTCTCCCCACTCAAGCTACTCAAAATCCTGTGAATCTTTGTTCCAATCAACCCATTTTCAGGGAGCCATCAGGGAGGCTTCCTGGCTTCTTGGCCTCCAGTGCCTGAAGCCAGGGCTGCTGCTCTTACCCAATGCCTTCAGGATGGACTTCAAGAAACAGGAAGAGTAGAGCCAGCCAAAACCACACAATGAAAACTTCTCTGTTCCCCAGGAGAAAGAAAGAAATAGGGTCTGTGCCTTCATGGGAGTGATGCATCAAGAGATGGCTCAGCAGGGAAAGTCCAACACAGAGCCATGCAGATGTTGGACTAGAGCATCTCTTATCTGAGGAAAGGCTGAAAGAGCTGGGCCTCTTTTGCCTAGAGAAGAGAAGGCTCACAGGCATCTTAGAAACACACATAAAAACCTGAAGGCAGAGCCAAGCTTTTTATCAGTGGTGCCCAGGGTTTGGGACAAAAAGCAGTGGGCAGCTGGGGGGGAAGCTTTATCATGAGCCTCTTTGTCTTTTAGTTGTGAGAATGGTAGAGTACCAGAACAGCTTGCCCAGGGGGGTGATGGAGTCTCCATCCTTGGAGATATTCAAAAGCTGTTTGGATGTGGTTGTGGGCAACCTGCTTTTAGGTGGCCCTGCTTGAGCAGAGGCTTGGTCAAGGTGTAACCTCCAGGACCTTTTGCAGAGTGAAGTCAACCCAAAACCATTCTCTCTGGAGCAGCTACAAGAATGGAAGCTGTGCACTTACCTCATGCTCGCTGTGGCTGGAGCAGCACCCTTAGGGAGTGATGGCTTGGGCTGGATCTCTTCCACACTGCAGCAGATGCACAGGGTAGCAGTGAGTGTGTAACTTACCAACTGACCCTTAAATAGCGTTTCTTTCTGGGCAGGGTCTAATGAAACCATTGGACTTGGAAGAAACAAAACTGAAAGAAAAGACTTAAACCAGAAAATGATGTATCCTGATGTCCCTGCCTAGAAGCTGCTACCTTCCCTTCCCAAAATGGGACTGGGATCTGGATAAAGGAGAATGAAGACCCATTCAGAGCAGAACTTACCCCTGGAGCCCTTCTTCCCGTTGCAACTGGCTTTGTTAGCATTAAAGCTTTTAAGAAGTAACAGAGTTAAGGTGATAGAAGCTTCTGGGCGACTGAGTGTAACTATGGCATTGCTATCATTGTTGAAAGGTTCTGCCTGGCTCTCAGACCTTGGCACTGGGCTTGTTGGGCTGGTTCTATCCGGATCTGTCCCAGCCTGCCTGGCACTTCGCAGTGGTTTGCTTAGCTGTAACTCCCTAGCAACAACATCCTCCTTACCCACTCGAGTTTGAGGTATTGAACTGGCATGGGTTTGTATAACTGAGGTACAAGGGCTGGGCCTGCCATAGAGCCCATGTACTTGCTTGAGCAGGTTGTGCTGAGGGTGGGTCACTGGTGGGGTGTTAGCAACTCGGTGGTGATCCATGCTGGTTGTTGATGAACACGGTTGGGTAAGTGACAGGAGCCAGTCTTAGAGGTAACATAACCCAGGTAAAACACCGGAGCCACAGAGGACACACAGTGTATCTTCTGTAACATGGCATTGCAGCTTTATGAAGAAAGATTCAAGTACAGAGACCAGTAGAAAATCCATTAAAAACCAATCAAGTAGCCCCAAGTAGGTAGTAAATGAAGAAACCATCAAGCCTATAATCATATTCTTCCTAGCAAAGAAGAAATGAAACCCATCGGCATCACTTTTTCCCCCTCAGGATGTGGATGAGTCACTGCAGCAAAGGAAGGAGGGTGAATTTGTCATTAAAGGATTGGGATAGGTACTTTTGTCTGATGTGTTTGTTGGGTTTTATTACTGACAGCCTTTAATAGCAATGGAATAATTTGGATATTAGCTGTTAGCACTGCTCGAAGAGGTTGAGCAGTAAAGGATTATAGAATCACATACTACTTAAGGGTGGAAAGGACCTTAACATAATCTAGTTCCAACCCCCTCCCATGGGTAGGGATGTCTTGCACTAGACCATGTTGCCCAAGGTTCTGTCCAGCCTGGCCTTGAACACTGCAAGGGATGGGGCAGCCACAGCTTCTCTGGGCACCCTGTGCCAGTGCCTCAGCACCCTCACAGCACCCTCTTCTCCCTTATCTCCAAGCTGAACTCCCCCTGTTCCAATCTGAACCCACCACCCCTTTTCCCATCTCTCCAGCCCCTGATGCAGGTCCCTCTCCAGCATCCTTGTAGCCCCCTTCAGCTACTGGAAGCTGCTCTGAGGTCTCCACGCAGCTTCTCTCCTCCAGCCCCAATGTTCTCAGCCTGGCTCCTATGGGAGCTGCTCCAGCCCCTGCTCATCCTCGTGGCCTCCTCCATGTCCTTATGTTGAGGACCCCAGAACTGCACCCAGTGCTGCAAGTGGGGTCTTGTGAGAGTAAATTGATTAAACTGAGGCATGAATTAGACCATGAATGAGTTCTTCTTGAATCCTCACGTCAGCATCTTCTTTCTGCACGCTTTGGCTTGCCCAAGCTGCTTCTCCATTGCCTGGCGTGGCCAGGATGGGGCTGTGTGTGTTGGATGGCAGACAGACAGACAAACACAGACAGACAGACAGATGCTTTCACTCCCCAGGGCAGGGGCTGAGCTGGGCTATGGGCAGTGCTGGCAGAATGGAGGTGGAATCCAGAGCTCAAATCCCTCCGGCCTCAGCAATGCTTTTTGGCTCTTTCTCCTGCTAATATTAGGACTGGTTTGAGGAAGATTCTGGTTTTATGGAATCGCTATTAATATCGTACAAAGCCTGGCTGCAAATCAAAAATAACAGCGAATGAGAACACTCCTGATGACACAGCCAAAGGGGAAGTGCAGGCGAGGCTTGGTGTTGGGAGAGAGAAATGGGGAGGGGGGAAGGAAAAGTGAAAGAGCTGCAATAAGATGCGAAGAAGTAAAATGCTTTGGCGATAGCTCAACCCCCCCGCTTGGCTCCAAACCAATTCTGGTACATCAAATAGCACTGATTGATCCAATTCTCTGAGCTGATGGAAAGGAAATCCTGGTTTATCGGCCCGCACGTTTTCGAGTTGGGAAAAGCACCCATCTGGCAGCGAGTTCCTCTGCTGCCTCTTCAGGAATGAGGGGGCTCGCACCAGCCTGGTGCTCTAACCCCAAATGTGCCTTGGAAATGAAGCTGCTTTTCCACATCTCGAGTCTGTTCCATTTCCCCCAGCAGTCTGCTGCTGCTCCTGGGCAAGCCTACGAGCCCTGGTTTGCATCCTCCTTTGTAATAGCTATTGTATTCGGGGTAATCTAGGAGCAGAGATGTGGTTTGCAGCAACAAATGAGACCACATGAACTTGACTGCAGCCAGGCCAGCAGGCTCCGAGTCCTTTATCAAGCAGGAAAAGGAAGAAGAAAAGTCCAGGCTCTTAACCTGATTCTCCTTGGACATGATGGAGGGGCTCTGAGGCCCTGGAGTGGTCTGCAGCATGAAGTGAGAAAGCCTGGAACTGGGCTAGGGCATTTCAAGGAGCTTCAGCTGGGTAGGAAAGGCCAGAACTAAAAATAGATGGAGAAGCAGCAGCAGGATTTCCCTGGCAAAGTCTGAGTCTTGGCTCAAGATTTCCCTTGTTAAGTGCATCCAAGCTCTTTGCTGGCACTGAAGTCCAGGCGAGGCTTCTAGGAGTGAAAAGACAGGTAACAAAAAGGTGGTTTCTGTTTCACCGGCACCTTTTTCAGGTCATACTGATGCCACTACTCCAGGCTCTGCTACCTGTGGTTCTGCTTGTGGATGTGCACAGCTCCTCCAGGGAAAGAAGGGGGCAGAAGGAGAGTTTTCCCAGTGTATCCGTGCTTGCACAGAGGTGTTGGGGCATGGAATCATGGAATGGTTTGGGTTGGAAGGGACCTTAAAGCTCCTCCAGCTCCAACCCCCTGCCACGGGCAGGGACCCCTTCCACTGGAGCAGGGTGCTCCAAGCCCCTGTGTCCAACCCAGCCTTGAGCACTGCCAGGGATGGGGCAGCCCCATCTTCTCTGGGCACCCTGTGCCAGCGCCTCAGCACCCTCACAGGGAAGAGCTTCTCCCTTATCTCCAAGCTGAACTTCCCCTGTTCCAGTCTGAACCCATCACCCCTTGTCCCATCGCTACGAGTCTGAATCCCCAGCCAAGAGCTGTGCTGGCAGAAGCCTGCGGGCTCCATCTCCTCAGGAGCAGGAGGATTGCACTGGACCGAAGCAGGGAACGTTTATCCTAGACAAGCACTTCAAAGATGCCTCTTTCCTCCTAGCAATTGCTTCTAACAGACCTTCAGTGATCCGTACCAGCAGATGGCAGAGGGTTTCCACCGCTGAGCTGCAAGACGCGAGGCAGGATGTGTGCATGGCCGTGCTCCGGCCAGGCTGGGACCAGCAGCCACGCTTCGGCATCCCTTCCCCATGGCTTATTTTTGACTCATCCTTACCTGGATGCCAAGAGTTCTATTTGGAAATGTGCTGTTTTCCTTTGGGTGTAAACAGGGAGGGAAAACAGAGCCGGACTTAGAAAGCGTGAGCAGCCTATGGAGGGCATTCACCCGTCCCAACTGAGCTGCAAAGGGCCCAAGGAAAGGGGCAGGCAGCAGGTTTCAAATGGGAAAGGCAGGTTGCTTTCCCCATATGCCATATCATGAGAGGCTGAGTGCACCTTTGTGTCAAACAGCCTCTGCCTTGCCAAAAATGTTTGACCTCCTTGCTTGCAAAGGCTTTGAATCAGCCAGGTTGGAAAAGACCTGTAAGATCAAGTCCCTCTGCTCTGCTCTTTGCCCCTCTGCTCTGCTCTTGTGAGGCCTCACCTGGAGCATTGGGTGCAGTTCTGGTGTCCTCAACATAGAAAGGACATGGAACTGTTGGAACAAGTCCAGAGGAGGCCACGAGGATGAGCAGGGACTGGAGCAGCTCCTGTATGAAGAGAGGCTGAGGAAGTTGGGGCTGTTCAGCCTGGAGAAGAGAAGCTGCGTGGAGACCTCAGAGCAGCTTCCAGTATCTGAAGGGGGCTGTAGGGATGCTGGGGAGGGACTCTTCATTAGGGACTGCAGTGACAGGACAAGGGGTAACGGGTTCAAACTGAAACAGGGGAAGTTTAGATTGGATCTAAGGAAGAAATTCTCTCCTGTGAGGGTGGTGAGGCACTGGAATGGGTTGCCCAGGGAGGTTGGGAATGCTCCATCCCTGGCAGTGTTCAAGGCCAGGTTGGACAGAGCCTTGGGTGACCTGGTTTAGTGTGAGGTGTCCCTGCCCATGGCAGGGGGGTTGGAACTGGATGAGCTTCAGGTCCTTTCCAACCCTAATTATTCTATGATTCTAACCATTACATGAATGAACATCAGCACACAGCCTCTCTGTGCATGCCCTGATTCTTACACCCACCCCAATTACCTGGTACTGCAAATGAGATCTGTTGAATTGCTGCAGATGAAGGGGATGCAGACGTTCTGCTTTAGTGATACAGGAGCATCACACGACGTAGCCACCAGAGACTGGCTTTGCTGCCATGGGATGATGCAGAGGGCTCTGTCTGGGGATGGCAGTGAATACCTCCTCCAGACACCCCTGTTCTCCCCAACCCAGACAGGGGCTGCTTATGAAACTGGGTCTTCCACAACCTGCAGCAGGAGCTGGGCAGGCTCTCAAGCACACACAGAGGATGGAGCAGAAGAGCTGTTGAGCATCTTCAGCCGAAACACCTTCCCGACACGTCCATCGCTCCTGAATGAATCTATCTCAAACACGAGGATTTGACTGTTTATAGCGTGGCGAGCCAACGAGGTCACTGCCAAGGCTTGATCAACAGGAGAGGAGCAATTCTAGGGCAAAGAAAAGAGATGATAGCGAAGGGTTCGGTTAACTGACCTCAAAAA